GCCAGAGAAACCATCGAGGAAGGAGTACATCTCGTGTCCAATGACTGCGTCAAGAACTTCGTTGGTAAATGGTATCGGGAAAACATCTTTTTCAGTGGCGTCGTTGAGCTGTTTATAGTTGACGCAGATTCGAAGTTTGCCATTTTTCTTCGGCACAACCACCAATGGTGAAAGCCAAATCGAATTCTGAATCGGGTAGATGTACTCGACTTGGAGAAGCTTGTCGAGTTCTTTCTTTACTTGTTCCATCAGATTCAGATTCATCCAGTAGGCTGCTTGTCTTCTTGGTTTTGAGTCTGGAAGAAGGGTGATGGTGTGAAGGCTGAGTTTTGGTGAAATTCCCTTAAGGTCTCGATAACTCCAAGCGAACAAGTGTTTCTTCTTTCGGAGAAGATTGATGCCTTTGTCTCGAAAACTTGCCGAGATGTCGGTGGCCGAGTACAATGTAGTGTTCGTTGCCGTCATTGGCAAGGCTGAATTATTCGAGTTTTTGGTCAGCTGGAATTGACGGAATGTAGGCAACTTTGTTGTGGTTGTCGACTGTGAATGCCGGTGGCGCTTCGAGTTTTGTATCTCGAGTGACTGGATTTTTCAGTGCTGATGTAATCGGGGGTCGTTCTCGTTGGAAGTCGGCGACAATTCAGAAGAGGTCGATCTCGGCCAAAGGTTCGAGATCGGGGTAGGCTTTGAGAATTTGTTGTTCTTCATAGTCGTTGAGGCCATCTTCGAGATTATATTCTTCCAAGTCAATAGATCAATTGTGGCTGGACAGCGATTTGGTTGCTTTTGTCGACACAGTCTTCGGTCCGTCTGGTCCGCGAAGGATAAGATTGTCATTGGGCCAATCTTGATAAACTTGGGCAGTTCGGAGCCAAGGTCGACCGAGGAGAATCGAGTATTTATCGGTCTGCTCTGGTAGTTTGAGGACGACATAGTTGACTGGTATTTCGACACCTTGAATGGTGGTGTTGACTTTTCGGATGATGCCTTTGGGTTGAATAGATTAGTGGTTGGCCATTCAGACATTGAAAGGTGCTAGGTGGACTGGGCTGATGTTGAGTTGTTGAACAAGACTTTCTTCAATAATATTAACGCTAGAGCCGCCGTCAATTATGGCTCCTCGAACAAGGTGTTTGTCGAGTCGTAGGTCAATTGTCAGAACATCATTGTCACAATCGCCTGGTTGAATCTCGGTTCGAAATGTGTCAACAGCTGTCTGTGTTGAGTTGAGTGTGGGCGAGTCTGTCAAAGTGTTGGTTGGTGCAGATGTTAGATCGGTGAGCTGTTTGGTGAGGTAGGGTGCAATCTTCAGCAGTTGGCTGATGGTGATCTGAATATTTTGGTTGAGGATAGTCTCTGCTACTTCTTGGATTTTGTCGAAGTTTGCCGAATTGTGTTCTGGTGTCAGTGTCGATGTTGGACGATTTGTCTGTCGGTTTTCTGGTACTGAGTCTTGGCATTGTTGTCGAGCTGGTGATGGTTGAGCTTCATTGTCAGAGTCTAAAATCACTAATTCAGGTGGTTGTAGAGCGAGTTGCCGTTGTATCTTGGCAGCTAACTTCTGCTTCTTTTCCCATTCCCGGAGTTTTGTTGGGCTCTTAGGGCCTTTCTCTTTACTATCTCCGGAATCTCTATCTGGTTGTTGTTGTTTTTCTGCTCGAATTTGTGCTCGGGTTTATACTGCCATGACTTGAGGATCTGAGTCATCATTGTCGGCATAAGGTAGTTCGTCGGTCTCGACCATCCTTGTTGTTGGTGGTTGCTGCTGGTTTTGATCTTGTTGTCGAGGAGGCGGTGGACCAAGTCTCGGCGGACCGCCTTGGTTTTGAAGTCGAGGTTGCCATGGTCGGTTGTTATAGTTGCCTTGGTAGCCGTGGTCTTGATAACCTTGGCCTTGGTATCTTCGGTTTTGGTATCTTGGGTATTGTTGGTATCCTTGGTTGTAGTTGTCTCGGTTTGCTGGGTAGTTCCAGTTCAGCGGGTGTTGTTGATCGTTGTAGTTGTTGTTGTAGTTGTTGTTGTAATTGTTGTAGATGTTGTAGTGAGGTTGATCATTCCATTGTCAACTCTGGTGTTGGAAGTTGTTTCTCAGCGGTCTCCAGTTTGTCGGAGGTGGTGGATGGTAATTGTCAAAATTTTGATTTAGATATGGTTGTCGAAATTGCTGTTGGGGATAGTTCGAGACTTGTCAAACTTCTGGAGAATTTCAAAATCTGCAAGTTTTGGCATCATGACCTTCTTTGGTACAGATCTGGCATTTGGAGATTTGGAGCTTGCAGTCACTTGCCGGATGTCCTTCGTTTTTGCACTTAGTACACCAAATTCCAGATCGAAATTCTTTGATGTCGGCCTTGGATTTTCCCTTGAGCTTGTTGATTGTTTTCTTGAGTTTCCGAAGTTTTGACTTGGTGCTCTCTCCAAGTTCATCGTCGGAGTTGTCGTCGGAACAGCTATCAGAATCTGAGTTATCTGTGTCATCTACTTGTGCTGTCATTTGTCGAGCTTGAACATCTTGAAGGGCTCTTGCGAGTTCGAGATAAGTGGCAATGTTGATGTGTGTTGCCGCTTCTCGGAGGGATCGTTAGAGTCCTTGCATGTACCATTGGTAAAGCAATGTTTTGGTGGCACTGTTGCCGCATTTGCTAGCATGTCAAGTGAAGGTTTGAATGTAGTTGTCGATGGATTGACCAGACTTCTACTTGAGTTTTTGGATCTTGTGAAGTCGTTGGCTTTAAGTGAGGGAAGACTTGAATCGGTCTACGAGCTTGAGTGCGAGGTCGTCAAAACTTGTATTTTGAGGAAGCGTTTGAGCCCATTTGTTGGCTCTCTTTCGAAAGGGTACATCAGAAATAGTATGGAAGTTCAGTCGTCTGGCTGCTGATTCGGATTGCTTCTCGGAACTGTTCAACATGTTTCTTGGCATCTTCTGACTTCAGACCATGAAATAGTGGATAGGAGACGTGTCTTCCAACAGGTATGTTGGCGACGGCGGTAGTGACTGCCATTTGCTAATGATATTTTTGTAGATAAAGGTTGCTGTTGTTTTCGCTGTGGCATGTCGAAGAGGTATTGCTTCGGCCCACTTGGTAGGGTAATTGGTGGTGATGATGATGTACGAATTTCATCGACGGGTGCTGACTTGGGGTCCGGCGAAGTCAAGTCCCCATTTTTAGAATGGTGCCATTGGGAATGTTGGGTTGAGTTGTTGAGTCTGAGTTTTTGGCGATAATCGGTGTCATTGACAGGTGTCGCAGCGTTTGCAGTAGTCTTTATTTTCATGCCAGAGTGTCGGCCACCAGAGGCTGGTTTGAAGAATCTTCCGAGTTGTGGTGTCAGAGGCAAAGTTGTTCTTCTAAATTGTCAAAGAGTTCTTCGAATGTATAGTTGTGTGGTGATTGTGGTTGCTGTGGAAGATTGTTGCTGTCGTCGACGATTGGTTCGTCGATCTCGTTGTTGTTGGATGATTGGAGCTGTTCGGCAGTTTGGTGTGAGTTGTTGACGTCAAGTGCTTGACTATTGGACAATTCAGGTTGTTCATCTTTACTGCTGTTGACTTGGTATATCGGAGTGCGACTGTAATTGGTGAAGTCAAGTTGTTGTCTCGTCAGCGCGTTGAAGTTGAAAGCGTGTTCGAAAGGTCTTGTTGATAGTGGGCTTCAGTAGATGTTGGAAGCAAATGTGGGATATATTGGTGTTGTGAATATCGGTCAGTATGGCGAAAATGGTGCTGGTCTGGTGAAGTCTGTGAAGCTGGGCGGGAAACTTGGTCATTCGTCATCATTGTAAATGGGGTTGGTGGATGTACCTTTGAAGTGGTTGTATGCTGCTTGAAAAATGTTTTGTTGCTCGGGTGTAGTCTGTGTCGACTGCTCAAATGTTCGGTCGGGCTCAGGCACTTTGGTGGGTGCCGTCGAGGGTGTTGATTCAGGCTTGGGCACTTTGGTGGGTGCCATCGAGGGTGCTGCCAGTGGTGTGTCCAGTGGTGTTGTGTAGTCGTTGTATTCTTCGCAGATGTCCAATACTGGTTCGTCGGAGTTAGCTTGCAGTAATAATTTGTGTCGGATGTAATTCTCTCTCTTGGAGGGTCTAACAATTTGATTCAACTTCTCTTAGTCTTTCTTTCTCTTTGTTTCTAAATTCTTCAAATCTCTATCTAAACTTCGGCGGTCTTCTTCCGAGTTGCTAGATGTTCTTCGTGGTTTTGGATACATGCATTCTTCTACTGGTTGTCGGTGTCAGATTCGTGTCTGCAGTCAATCATGCAGTTTGGGCAGAACTTCGGGAAGACTGTCGTCGGGCCAATTGTGGATAAAGTCGTTGTGAGGTTGTTATTTCTTTTCTGTGCAAATATTGACGGTGGTGCGTGTTGGGTTGGGTTGTGTTCAGCCGAGTTGTGTTGGGTCGAGTGTGCTGGTGCAGTATGCAGACTTGTCTTCCACTTGCTGGTGCCGAGATGGAGTTTGATGAAGAATTTCGGATATTTGGGTTTGTCTGGAATGATTTCTTTGATAATGTCGTCGAGTTGTTCGAGTCCGGATTGGGCGATGGCGTGATTGGCGAGAGTTGTTGCAGCGAACGTGTTGATTTTGAACCGAGTTCGGACTGTTGTTTTGGTGCTGAGCTGCTGACTCTATCGGAGGGGTTGTTGAAAAATTGGTGGTGCGTTGTCAAGTTGTCCCTCGACAAGTTCTCTGGTACTGGGTAATAGAGTGATGGGTTCATCGTTGGTGTAGGTTCTG